CCCTGCTGCACCAACTCTTCCTAAATGGATCAGTCGTTCAGCTGTAACATCTTTCGGTGCCTAGCTTCAAGGCCACGTGAAAGAAACTGAGAAACTGCCAGGTTGCCCAAACCTAGATAGAGCAGTTGAGATGCGAGAAAAGTTGGGTTCGAACCAAGGGTCTCCCGGTCAGTAAGTTTGCGCTTCAACTACTGAGCTATTTCGAGCTCTAGTGGATCAGATACTCAAGTCGTTGGATTCAAATAGGTCCCTAACAAATATATATTAAGACTCATTGTCGTGGGGTTGAGACTACTGAGTAAAAGAATAAGAGTGGGGACCAGGAGTGAAGTGGGGAATCCTTTAACTGCCTTTTCGATGGAATTCTTTGACCGAAGGGGGTGACCTGGCAGCAGGAACGTAGCTATCCAGTATTTTTTCTGTTTACCAATCTGCTACAAATCTCGAACCAACAAGCGAACAAAGCTTTAGACTACTGGAACCAGTACAGCGGCCACTGCGCATTGTCGCGAATTTGGTGTCATAGAAACTGGGTCGACTGGCAGTCGAGCATATATCGCACTATGTGGGGAATCGCAATCACCGGCGACGTTGTTGATCACCACCAACAGCTAAATATCAATGTTCAAAAGTGACGTTAACTAAATTATAATTTATTTGAAATCTTTGGTGTGAGGAATAGAAATATCATGAAAGAGGGGCGGATCTAGTGCTAGTCTACCACAAACATTCCGAGGTGCCCATACCTCCAGACACTCATTCAGGTAATCTGGATACAAAGTGACAACAAAGCTGCTGACGTCAATCGGGAGTCATTTGTTGAGGCATCATCAGCCATGTATAGGAGGAGTACCCGGACCCAAAATTGGAAGGCGAGTCGCACCGACAATATCAGGAATCTTCGTAATCTTCTCCACACTCCATTGCTGAATCAAAGGCTGGGGACATCTCTGCTTGTGTTATGGTCACAAAAGTCAGCACTTCATCCAGTGGATGACCATTCCCCATGGGCTGTACATGTTTGAGGCTTACGGTGCCTAACACATTTTTTGGTTGAAGTCCCGGTGCACAACGGAACGCTCGCCCTCTGAATGTCTCACCTCAGATTTCCTGGAGCTAAGCCACACAAACTGTAATTCTGGGAAGACAGCTACAGAAGACCAGAAGACACCTCAGTTACGCTGCTCGCAGCCCGATACAAACATCCCTTGAAATTCAGGATTAACCAGTTTGTTGTGACAGGAGGCTTAAGTTGGCAAATGCGACCCAAACCTTGGAGACTCGTGAATTAGCCATCATCATTAGATCGTCATCAACATCATCTAATGCGACATCAGTGTCCGCCAAGCATTCTGTTGTGAATTCCTGAACCTCCGAGCGCCGTATGTCAAGTTCCGTGAACACAAAAAGGCTTACAGTCAGCTCTCACCAGAGTCTATAACATCCACCTGTCCTAGGAAATACCCTCCTGAGTCCCCTTTTTTCTTCATATTTGTCGTCGATATGGCCATAGAGGACTTCCCTTCAACTTCTGATGCCTGTGGAATCTAACTGCACTCAGGAAGTACACACACGGAGGTCCTATTGGATCTGAATCTAGCTAAGTGCAAACAGTATCAAAACGATATGAACAATCTAACCCCACGGTTTAGTATATGCTTCTGACCTACTTTCACTGCTGTTCTAAGGCATACGGTCAACACTTATTGAGATAAAAGACGTGTTTTTACGTAGTTGGCTGGACCAACGCCAGCTGTCTAGATGTAGACAATAATGTCTTTCGGGTAAAAACGCTAAGGCGCATCTCGTCAACAAGCAGTATCTGTGACGTATACACAACAAAACTTTCTGTGTCAGCAGTAAATGTACGGTATTACGCTAAGTTCCATATTGGCCTGTGGCCCAAAACCAAAACTTTACAAGCTAAGGACGTCAAAACGTTTCAGTGCAAGATCATCGGTACTTTTGGAGCACTCCACAAATTTAGTGGAAACATCGGACCAGCAATGCTGAGGTATGCCGGAAGCCTTTTGGAGGGAACAGCTTGCCAACGGCAGATCAGCGGTTGACAGACCTGAGCTTGTGATGGCTTCGTATGCCACCAAATTGGCTGTCTCTTAAAACTTCGTACAGCCAACCAAGGGGTTTAGACTAGTCTAGTAAGGTTAAAAAATAAGCTGACAGCCAATCACGAGGACATGTACCAACAAACTTAGCTGCGGTGACGAATGTCGACTTCGTGGACAGGAACCATGAGTGTGGAAGGGCGAGGTGGCTCAAGTGGTTAGAGCTCAAATTTACTGACCACAAGGTCCGTGGTTCGAACCCGATCTCTGTCTCTTAACTTCTCCTGTCTAGGCTCGGGTAACCTGGCAGTATCCCAGTCCTCGTGTTTCCTTCTGATGGCATGGAAGCTAGGCACCGAAAGAGCGTCACAGTTGAACGATTATTATTTATTATGAGTCTGGATAGGTCAAGAATTGGAGACACTGGAAGACATAATCTTCCAATGCGCTCATTGATGCAGTTACACCCTCAAGTACCGTCCTAAGGCTGTGGATTCGGGGTTGCTTCATAATTCGGCAGAAATGTACCCAAAACTTTTACCAAGATCAATTTTCCTTCCGCTTTTACCGACGCGCGTTTAAAGACACCCACAGACCGATCAGCTTGACTGTGCGGGTGGAATGGTGAGGAATTAACACATGTGATGCTAGATCTTTGAACGAATTCACTAGACTGATGGGACGTGTTTTGCGCGACATTATTAGATGATTGTTTTCAAGAGAAGCAAAATTAAGAACGGATGCAGAATTTTAATAATGGTTGTCATCGCTGTTTTCTCAAAAATAACAAAGACTTCAGGCCACGGAATGCATCCGATCAGCTTGACTGTGCGGGTGGAATGGTGAGGAATTAACACATGTGATGCTAGATCTTTGAACGAATTCACTAGACTGATGGGACGTGTTTTGCGCGACATTATTAGATGATTGTTTTCAAGAGAAGCAAAATTAAGAACGGATGCAGAATTTTAATAATGGTTGTCATCGCTGTTTTCTCAAAAATAACAAAGACTTCAGGCCACTTACGGAATGCATCAACAATGGATGCGCAACCATGGTTTTTTGGCTGTGGCCAAGGCTGCGGTGAGTGTTTGTTGGATGACTTCCAGGCAGATGCGCATTGGAAACAGCTCTGACATACGTGTTCAACTATACCGGGCCAATAAACATAGTTGCAAGCGAGGGACTTCATGCGCCCTACCCCTGAATGTCAATCGTGGAACTGTTCTACGGCTCGGCGGCGAAGTTTGGTGGGAACGACAATTCGATCATCAAGGATAAGACAGCCAGTGAAAACAGATAACGAACTATGCCGTTGAAAAAAACTGCCGGAGGTCTTCTGATTAACAGGTTGTTGGCCAGCTGGTTTGGTGGTGTTCCACTTTGTTCTGTAGTACGCTACCGTTTTCAGTAGCATCACAGACCATTTCAGAAGCTACGGGTAGTTGGTTTATAGTCTCCAGTACCCCAGCACGGACATCCGGTTCGACGACATCCGGTTCTGGTTCCATCACAT